CGTTAGTTGTCCGTTAGTCGTTAATGATTCTGACTAACATCGCAATTAGGGTTTGAATGCCTTCACTTTTTTTCCCCCAATTTCTCGTGTTCCTCAAAAGAAAAACCCTAACTTTTCAATCTTTTTCAACATTCATCAAAATGATGATTGAACCCTCAAATCGAAGCCTGATTTTAGAATTTCCAACTGAATTCTTCTAATTGCTGCTCGATTTCTCCAATGTTCAGCTCGATTACTTAAATTGCAGTCCGACTCTTCAAATTTCAACGCGATTCCTCAAATTGCAGCCCGAATCTTCAGTTTGCAAGTAAAGTCTAGTAATTGTCGCATGTGTATTTCAGATCCCACCCGATTATTGAAATTTCAGATCGATCTATGGCGAAAAGAGATCGAGCAGATAAGAAAGGAACTCCAGTATACAGTATGTTTCATGTAATATGCGAAATTTAGCTTTAACACTACTTAAGGTCCTGTACTATGGTCGATTTTGCTTTAACAATGCTTTTTTTTTTGTCCAAACGATAGGGGAACTATTAAAAATCAAACGAGCAAAAATGTGCGAATAAAGATACAAACTCCCAACGTGAGAATAAAGTGGGAGGACAGGTCAGAAGACCGCCTAGAATCCCGCTAGCAACGCTAGAAAAAACACGAAACTAAACAGACCCCAACAGGGTAATACCAACTAAACCAACTAAAACAACTAAAAGAAAAAACTAACAAGACCCCAACAGGGTAATACCGAGTGTCGGACCCCAACAGGGTAATAAAATTGACACTCGAAAACACAGAGGCCAACGGCCCAAACCAAAAACACAGGACAAGGACACAGAGGCAAAACGCCCAAACCAAAAAACAAACTACCACAAAACAAGAAAACAAAATAAGGAAAAAACACACATCCGGCCCTTCCACGGTAGATCAGCCGATCCAAACTAGCGGAGAACAGTCAATTTCAGAGATTAGTCCAAGTCCAGAGACGACTCCCGAAACTGCCACAAGGCCTATACAAGAAGTCAAACCCGAACACAAACCAAACTCCAAAACAACCCACCTCAACCGGAGGAACAATCAAACCCACTCCCACTCAAGCACGTCCGGAGCCCGGCTAACACCACTAGCCGAGCTAAGTATCACCCGAACCCCGCCGTCTAACACCACTAGCCGGAAGGGGGGAGGGTTCGAGCCCTCAGCCCCTACACACAAGCAGAGCTCCACCCCGCCTCGCAACCCACAAACCCATCAGTAAAAACGCACACCACCAGCACCGGCACCTAAACAAGAGCATCCCGAATGGGCCGTTGCTGGAAAAAAAGGACCCGCCCGAAGCCCTTTCTTCGCACAGAGTCTAAGACAGAGACAGAAGAGGCAAAAATTAAGGTGGAACTCACCTCCAAATGAGACCGGGATACACCAATTGCAGAG